GATGGATACCCCTCCTACCATCACTGAGGATCCCGGTGGTGGCCTGTTCCGAGGACCATGGAAGTGCATGGTCTCGGACTTGTGCAGAGCCACCTCGAGACCCAGTTGCCGAATCCTCTCAACGACTATCGCAACCCCGCGTGTCATATTTTCCGCCGCCGCCTCGTACGTCCCCCCCTTGTGCCAGTACCAGCGTGTCGTCAGCGTAGCAAACTACGCTGACGCCGGTAGGGAGGTCGGCGCGCAGCACCCAGTCGTAACCGATGTTCCACAGAGGTGGCCCCAGAACCGAACCCTGTGGGACACCGCACGACATCTCTCGCCGGTTCCACTCACCGTTGCGACCGGGGTAGATGACGGCCCTGTCCGTCAGGTAGTCCCCGACTATACGACGGAGATAGGTCGGCACCCGGTGATACCGGAGTGCCTCCCTAATGCAGCTCCAGGGCATGGAGTTGAAGGCGTTGGCGATGTCGAGAGACACCGCCAAGACAACCCCCCCTCTGGCCACTGCATCCCCCGTCGTGAGGGCTCTCACGCGCATGATGGCATCCACCGTAGAGCGCCTCTTGCGGAAACCAAACTGGTGTTCCGCAAGATCCGGCCCCGTCTCCGCAAGGTGCTCGGCGAGGCGGTTTGCAATGACTCTTTCAAAGAGCTTGCCCACCTCGTCGAGCAGCACCACGGGCCGGTATGCGGACGGAGAGTCCGCAGGGCGCCCCGGCTTCCGAATGAGGACCAGCTTCCCCGTCTTCCAACGAAGCGGGAATTGGCCTCTCTCCAAGCATGCGCTTAGGAGCCCCTCCAGTCGGGGCCCGAGAGCCTCCGAGGCCAGGACCCAGGCTTTGCCAGGCAAGCCATCGGGTCCTGGGGCGGTATTCCTGGCCTTGAGCCTACGTACCGCCACTCTCAGGTCTACCCCGGTCCCTTCCGGGATGTCGTCGTCGTCGTCCTGGTGGTCCGCTTCCGGCACCGCAGGTGGCGGAGCTATAGGCGGGGGCGGATTTTCCTGTCGCGCAGGGAACAGAGCGCTCACCACGTCCTCCACGAGCTGGGGCCGGAGACTTTGCGTCAGCGGGGGGGCCCAGGTGCGGAGTTTATCCCGCACCATCTTGTAAGGGCGCCCCCCACGGATCTCTGTTGAGAGTCTCCAGCATCTCCTCACGGGCCCGATCCCGGGCCCGCAGGACAGCCTCGCGGAGGGCGTTCTTCGCCGCTCTGTATCCCTCGTACAGCTCCGCCTCAATGGCTGCCGCATTCGGTGGACGAATGCGGAGCCTGCGATGCCTGGTGTACAGGTGCCGCGCGGCGACACACGCCTCGCGCAGAGACGTCAGCTCACGCGACCACCAATACACCTGACGCCGGGCGCTTCCTGGCCGGACGCGGGGCATTGCCACGTCACATATTTCGGACATGGCCTCCTGGAACCACCCTGCCTCATCATTGACGTAGGGTAGTTCCAACTTAAAAATTACTAAATCATATTATAAAAGAACTGAGAAAAATGTAAATGCAGATGCCTTGTCACCCCTGAGATTAGCAAAATGCCTGGTTAGTTTAAACACGGCAGCATTATGCTGCTATATTACTATGGTAGGTATTCTGTAAGGATATAATACGTTCTTCTACCAGTCGACCCACGTAAATATGCGTTTAAATATGAGTAAATATGTATAACTTAGTATGTTGGACCTGCATACTATAAATTTTTTGTACTATATATTAAATTTATGATTGTTGAAATTTATCTACGTTACTTGTATACGTTACTACGTTGTTGAATAGTCTGTCAGAAGCAATGTAGATGTCTTCAAGGAAAGAGAGAATAGGTTTTTATCAAGCTAAGTCCGTCCAATTATACCATCTTCGGCTTAAAAAAATCCTTTATTACCATTTAATTTTCACAACGTAAGTTACTAGACTTAACTATAAATATGTCAATCATACGTAACGTACTCTGTAATATTCTGAATGCACTTAATATTATCCCGGGGTCGGCCTGCGAGTCTCGCGATTCCGGCGCGCAGTGATCCCGGTATGATTGGCAATACCGGGCCGCAGGATAAGGCAGCCATATTAATGGGAATGCTCACCTGGATAAGCATCACGAAATGAAATGTGCTTTCGGTGAAATGACATCCGCTTTTTATGTTTCACGAGATATTTATTCGATTTTAAATATTATTCGACTATTTATTTCAGTAGAAGTCGCAGCTTATGAAGTTTAATTGTGCTGTGATGGGGCATAATAAAAGAAAATATGTAAATAATAATGTCATTAAGATCGAATTTCGGGCAGGGCGGCCGGTCTTAACGGGAGACTAGTTACAAGCCCATGAGCACTCTCTAATCTCTAATTTCCTCACTCTCATAGTCAAACCGGACAGTAATACGACGCGACCGAGAAGATTAGGTGCAGGACCAACATCTTTACGTGCAGGACCAACATCTTTACGTGCAGGACCAACATCTTTACGTGCAGGACCAATTTTACGTGCAGGATCTTAAAGTGAGATCTTTACGTGAGGACCAACATCTTTACGTGCAGGCCACTCCTGTGCAATCTTTACGTGCAGGACCAACATCTTTACGTGCAGGACCAACATTCGTGGGATCTTTACGTGCTTTCCGAGGCACAGGGGTGAATAAAACACCGCCAAATTCCTGACTTTTTATTTTTTTATATATGATGGGGTAACAAACGAGCACACAGTCCACCTGGTGGTAAGTGGTTGCTGTGGCCCATAGACATCTACATCTATCCTCGATTACGAATTAAAATGCAAATGCGTTGTCACTGCTGGCTGCTATTGAGAATTTCTTGACAGCAAAACGCAAAAACTGATTTCGGTTCGACTCGAGATTAGCAATTAAGTTACCGATTTCTACAAACTCATAAAATATAACAACACAGACAAAATTTAAAACAACCTTGCGGTAGTTTTTAACAAACGAAAGCTAAGTAATAAATCGTATACACCGACCGCCATCAGTTGTAAGGTTGAGATTTCTCCGTACCTCAAACTTGGGTAGTTCATTGATTCCAGGTCCAAAGCAGCCACAAGGAAATTAGATTGCATTGCAGGGGTGCGGTGATACTTCACGCCGAGCCGCCTTACAAGGCCAGTCGTGAATGGAGTATATATGGTCTGGTACAGCAAATTGCTTGGCAGCAACGCTGAACTCATTGAAAAGGCGTCCTAGGAGACTAATGTTGCCCTTGATTTGATCCAGTATAATTACAGATTGTGAGATACTCCATCTTATTCCTCAGAGGTGACTTCTGTAGCCTTCTTTTTTTGTAGTTAGCTGCAGGAGTCCATGGACTGCAGTATCCACGTAGAACTAGATGGACTGGATGTTCGCTTGTCACTTCAGTTTAATTTTAAAAAATCAATCGATTAGAAGAAAAAACAAATATTCGCAACTTTTCAACGAGTACAAAATAATAGTTAAACTTACTGGAATAGTAAAAATTAAAATTCCTTAACATTTATGAGATGATTATTGCAATTGTGTGTTTACCTGAAACAAAAAATATATTATATTACAAATCTCTTCAAAAATAGTATAAATATTTATCTCAGAAATACTAATAGTTAATTAAATTTCCAGGCGGTAGGACTACTTTTTTAACTAGGAGTCCTAGGAATTTCTACAACCAGCAGTACACTTTATTAGTTGGAAGGGGTTTACAAACTGATTTAATTCATTTAAGATGACTACGCTGTTTGGTTGCAAGTGGTTACCATACGAATTGCGGTGCGGTCGCGGCTTAAAAAAATCCAACACCTGTTTTCGTCGCATGAGCGTTATTAAAGGCCAGAAAGACCTCGAGGCCTTCTCTGATATGTAAAAAAGGGAGAGGCCAACGAGCAAGAGTAGACTATGAAACGTATATAAAGAAGAAAGAAGGGCACGAATAAAACTCATAGAAACATTTTTTTCTTTACAACCGTAAATCCTCTACTGGTGGACAAGAGCTTATTTCGTATGAAACATGTGTCTTACGTAGTTTACAGAGCACCTTCCAAGAGTAATCCTAGCACCACTACTCCCAACACCACTACACTACACTTAGACTTATCAGTCAGCCACCGCAGAGTCTACCTCACCATGCATCGTTTAGAGGCGAAACAGGTGTCGTATTATTGACGATGGTGTGTCTTTTATAGTAAAGTGGTGTTGGGAGTAGTGATGCAGGGATTAGTGCTTACGTGGGCAGGGCACGCAATTGAGGAAAGGCGATTGATTGCTATTCACAGTAGGAAAGACACATTATTTTATTTAATTACGCGTATCTCAACCAATTAATTTTTAACGGCTTTAATAATTATAATGAACTATCGCAAAGTAACGCCTGATTGTGTATTAATTCTCAAGTATTTTTAAATAAAAATATTTCGACTTTAACTTTGACATGACGTAGTAGGGATCAATATATTTGTACCTGTTAATTTGTTTGCATATACGCTGAAAACAACGACAGCACTATGTTTCAACAATTCACGAAAGTAAGGACCACGAAAACGGCGAAAGCTGAGCCCCTTTGTTTCGTTGGACGCGGGGCAGACTCGGGACACGTGGGACAAGGGGAGTCCATTGGAATTCTTTATAGAATGAACTGGATTTAATATCGGCTGGTATGCCGCTTTGAAAGATAGTGTCCGACCGACCCACGCCGTCTCCTCCCGGGGACGGATACGTGACATTTTGAGATTTATTTTATTTTGTATGAAACATTTTGAGATTATATAATCGGAGTATATAATTTGTGAATTGATTGAATTGAATTGACTTCGCATTGCAATACTAACTTTGAATATAATTTTTTTATAAATATATACCGGGTCCGGCGATTGAACTGTCCGTATGGGAAAATAAATTATTTTTGTTAATTTTCAATATTTATTTATACGCTTTTTACATGTGACAATAGATGGTTCAAAGTTATGTTATGGCTTAGTCCGATGGAATAAAACCGCCTTTAGACTTTACTACAAGTTTGAGTCTCTTCCTGAACGAAGCGCACGCTGCTCGAACGACGTCATCACAAATTCTCGCGTAATACTAGCTTTGAGCGCTTCCACCGACGTGTGTTTTGTAGCACAAGCCTTGGTCTGTAAAAAACCCCAAATACAAAAGTCTAGTGGATTCAAGTCGAGTGATGACGACGGCCACATATCTCGGTCGATCAGCACTGAAACGTTCGCTTTCAACCAATTTTGCGTTCCAATTGCTCTGTGCAATGGTGCCGAGTCTTGCTGGAAAGTCCAACGCTCAGAACCGAACGTGTTACGTGCCCACGGTATCAGCCCAGGTATTAAGACTTTGTCTTGATAGATTTGCTGATTTATTTTGACTTGGTTGCGATTCATTGGGAGAAAAACGAGCGGTGAACGGCCTTTTTCGGACACCACCGCCCAGACCATGATTTGATCGGCTCCTTGACGTCGAGTGACTTGGAGTTCGTCCGCATGGTCGCTGAAACGTCCCTTCAACCATACACGGTCATTTTGTTTGTTAAGAAACTGCTCAACACAGAAAGTTTTCTCATCCGAAAACACCAAATTGGGAAGCTCGCCAGAGTCGAGCAAGCGAATCAGCTCTTTTGATCGCTCTAACCGTTTACTACGTTGCAAAGCTGTGAGTTCCTGAGAAATGTTTTTTCAATGGTTTGACCTTCAGCTTTTCTTTCAAAATACGACGAACACTACAGTCGCTCACGTTTAGATCCTTCGCGAGCTGATTTTCTGAGCGCGCTGGATTCCTGTCCAATCGGTGACGTACCTTTTCGACGACTGCTGGTGCCGTTGCAGTACAACGCCGTCCTCCCCCATTGCGTTTCTTAATGCTACCAGTCTCAGAATATCGTTCGTTAGTGCGATGTACAAATTTCTCATTTAGTTTTAGGTTTGGCAGCGCTCGACGAATTTCGATGTTCGATTTTCCTTCCAAATACAGAGCAATCACTGAATTACGTTTTAAATCCATCGTTTTAAATTAAGAATGTTTTATCTCACAACAAAATCACATCAAACCATGAAAGAAAATATGTCAAAGAACAACATTTTAAATTTTGGCGGCGTTCGATTCAGTGGTTCGAATTTTAAAACGAGATTTAGATAGTTAGATCGAGACGGACAGTTCAATTGCCGGACCCGGTAGAATAACGAGAAATGAGCACACAGTCTAAGACAGTGAAGTCTGTGGCTCATTCATCGATTTAGAATCAAAATGCAGATGCGTTGTCACCCCTGAGGATTTACATTTAATGCTTCGTTTCCAGTAAGAAGGGTCTCCGGTGTTTTACACCCCACCATACGAAACACAGCAACATTGAGCTGCTATCTTACGCTGGCATTCTATGAGACCGTGGTCCTTTCCCCGTTGAGCCGACATATTCCTGCTTCAACTATAATATACCTGCACCATGGCTCTATCACGCATCATTTAAAAATATTATCCATCTTGAATACATAATCGTCGCTTTTAGTTAAAATAATAAAATATGGGGGCAAATGGATAGATAAAACACCTGATGGAGAGATAAAAAACCTCTTAAGTAACCTCGCAGATATAACATTGATAAGAGAACTAAAAATTATTCTAGTCTATTCTAGTATATTTTAATCGTTTCTTACAAAACTCACGGAACACAATGTTCTCTTACTGTTACGGCACGGCATGTCGAAGAGACGAATTATGATATAGTCAATCTCTTTCTCTTTTACGAATAGATATTTTATTCCGATCCTTTTAAATATTGGCCGTACTATTGACGAATAAGTAATCCGACTTAAAATGTATGCCAATATTTAATAATGTCCAAAGGTAAAGACATTGACAGGTCACATTAACAACGTTAGGACAATTTTTGAAACACCTGCTTATTATTAAATTTCATGTCATAGAATACACCTGGCCTCTATAACTATCATCCAACTTATATTTTTTTTTAAATTTAGATATCTATTTACCCTAATAGTTACCTTTGCAGCAAATTAAAGTCCACTGCTGAACATAGCTCCCCCACAGATTGCCTTATAACACTCTACGGGGAGGGGATATTTGCCATAGTGACCACGCTTGGCGAGCGGGTTGGTTACCGCGGTTTTTTATTTTTAGTCGTTTTTAGGAATACACTGCTGCTCATCTCCTTATGTGTATCGCTCTGTCGCATCTTACGACACTCACGGGATACAATGGGGCAGTGGATATTTTTACACAGCCATTATACGGTAAAGATATCTATTTAATCGTAACGTAACGGCAGGGGTGATTCGTTATTATAAAAGTCATTCAGAAAGAGAATCCGGGTGTGATTGTAGTCAAGGACTGGCTTACAACAAGTAAAAATAGAAACAGAAAAACGAGATGTCATTAAGAATAAAGGCAACGTCAAAAATACTTATCGTTGCTAAAACAGTGCAGAATAAAATACCTTTTAATAGAAAATAAAAGGTGATTTTAAAGAAGTAAAAAGATTAAAACGATTTTACATTCTGAGGAAGGTGCTATGAGTTAGTAGACTTTAAGCGACTTCAGAATGATTTTATTCCTTTTCGTTCTTTGTAGTACGTTTTTACTTTTTATTCAAAGTTTTTTACCGTTTTGAATGGTCTAAAAGGATATCAGAATTCCAATGTCCAAAAACCTTGAAAATTAACAAATAGGTAAAATAAAGTATTTTCATGTACTTTTTAGGTTTCTTAAAATAAAAGTACGTTTGCCCGAAATAACGTACATTACTTTATAATAAAGTCTTTATTATAAAGTAGGAATGTGTGCCCCTTTGTCGTCTTTATTCTATAAAAAAAACATACAGACGAATTGAGCACCTCCTTTTTCTCCTCGTCCTTTTTTTTGTATTCGGCAAAAAATTCCGCACCTTGCTAGTGTTTTCGTTATGACCTACAATCATTGTGCTAGGATGTTGTTCATGTGCTAGTATGTAAGTAAAATGACTCCTCAATAGAAGAGAAAATAATAATATTTACGCCACATTCAACAAAAATTCAAAGGTATGACAAACTCGTTTCTAGAAGTGTATTTAACCTTTTCACAACCCGCAACTCTATAACTACCTCAATCCGGCCGCTTGCAATCAAATTTTATTTTACGAACTGCGAACTTTTATTTGGGGTCAGTTACAGACGGGGTTATGTTTTATTAAGCGGTATGTGAAATTGTATTGATATGACGGTACATACACTTTGATATAACAGTCTTAAAGACCTTGTTATCATCTAGCGTAGACAAAATGATCAAATTGTTACTGAAGATTCGCTAGAAATTCACAGATTTTCAAACGTGATAGAGCCATGTTACAGCTACATTATGGTTGTAGCACGAAAGTTTGGCCCGACCAGGGAAGGACCACGCTCCCACAGAATACCAGCTTAAAATAGCAGTTTAATGCTGCTGTGTTTCGTTTGGTGAGTGTATAAAACCGGAACCTTTTTAACTGGAAACGAGGCATTACATCTTAGTCCTCAAGAGTGACAACGCATCTGCATTGTGATTTTTAATTGAGGTTAGGTGTCTATGGGACAAAGCATCTACTTACTATAAGGTGAACTGTGTGTCCGTTTGTCACCCTTGTTCTATAAAAAAGTATCCATTTGCCTTGTATACAAATCCAAGTGTTTTTATTAGATACCTATCTGCCACTAGCACGTTACGACCAATGCGTTATTGAGAAGAAGCAAAGGGTACAGCGATCCACGTCACGCTTAGAAAATCAAGACAGTCGCTGTAAATACGGGCGATATTGCTACCCGGCCGCAATCTCGCATCAGCCCGGCGAATAGCTGGGATACTTATGTAAATCGGACCACAACCGCGCTTATTGTATATCTAATTTGATTTCTTTTGCAATACCGTGATGGGATTCAACGAGTATTGGCCCTACCTGCCTATCTAATACCGCGCGGGGCCTGAAATACCCCTTGCCGCAGTTTCGGGGTTAAGAGATCGTGATAGTAGTTTTGCCGGGCTGACTTTTTTAAAATATTTACGAGGGATTGACGGTGAGAGGTCGCGTTCTGGCGTAATCCAATTTCAGGTTATGTCTTTGGGAAGTCACTTATTTTGCGGGTATGTTTTCGAAGGGTCAATGTTTTCATACATTTTAATTAAAGTTAATACAGTGTGCCCGACATGTTGGGAGCATGTGTTATTTTAGTTGTATAAGTGTTCTGATTGCGTAGTGACCAGACGGTTAACAAGATTTTGAGGGCAAAAACATAAAGGAGCAAAAATAGGTTAAGAATTTAATAACTTTTAGCAAATTGAAGTTTTGTTACAAAACGTACTAAAACTTATAATATTGTAAAATGTTAATAAGAGAACCGTGATAGATTAAGTTCTAAGCGCTCGCTTTTACAGTACGCTATCAACCAGGGTTCGATTCCCGCCGGTATCAATGAAATTATTAATGGCAGTTTTAAGTGCTGATTTATTCTGTGCGGTGAAAGAAAGCATCGTGGAGAAATCTGCATATTCGATAGTTAAAACTCCCCATGGAAAAAGTCCGTCAACACACACTGAAGCTCGCGGCGGTCTCTCAGAAATGAAAGGAAAGGCCTGTATGAAGACTGTAACTTTCTTTTATTTTTTTATGAAAAATAGAAACCACGTTTAATTATGGTTGAGCACGACATATTAAGTACACATAATAATTTACAAAAACACACTCACAACAAGCATTACAAATAGATCGGCCTCCATTAACACAGAAAGAGCGTGGCTTTCTCTTTCATGCTATATAATCTTCTACAATTTCTTGGAAACTGTTGCTCATAAACAGATTTCTTCTTTTGTTTTCTCAAAGAATATTCTTTCCCCTTATCAGTCTGGTTACCGCCCGGGTCATTCTACAACTATTGCTCTTCTCAAGGTTACGGGCGATATTCGTGAGGGGATGGAAAAATCCAAACTGACCGTTCTCAATTTAATTGATTTTTCTAATGCATTTAATTCTGTCGATCATGGTATCTTGTTAGTTCTTCTTTCTCATTTGAATATCTCATCTTCAGCTCAGGAATGGTTCTCAACATATCTTCGAGGGCGCCAACAGGCTGTGCGTACTGGCCATACACTATCTGACTGGCGTGATGTGTCAATTGGCGTCCCTCAAGGCGGTGTTATCTCTCCTCTTCTGTTTTCCATATTTATAAATCTCATCACACTAAATCTCAAGAGTTCTTACCATTTGTACGCTGATGATCTGCAAGTTACATGCGCAAATGGAACCTTCAAATATCCTAAGTGCTATCTCACTGTTAAATGATGATTTGAAATATATCTCAGAATGGTCTACTGTGTATGGCATAAACGTGAACCCGTCTAAATGCCAAACGATAATCTTAGGTAGCTCAATATTATTATCTAAACTAGATATTCCCACCCTACCGTCAATTACGTTTAATAATGATGTCATTCCATTCTCTACTAATGTAAAGAACCTTGGTCTGTACATCGATGATTGCTTAACATGGAACAAACATATACAGGAGGTGAGTCGCAAAACTACTGGAACTTTGCGATCTCTATATCGATTTAAAAACTTTCTTCCCACCAACATCAAGATTTTACTTGTCTAATCACTTATTGTACCGATTATTGATTATGTCGATGTGTGTTGCTCAGACCTGTCTCAACTTCATCTTAATACATTGGATCGTCTGCTTAACAACTGCATCAGATACATTTATGGTCTTCGTAAATACGACCATGTATCTTCCTTTCGTACACAGCAAAACTGGCTGCCTATCCGTGTGCGCAGATATGTTAGAATACTCTGCAACCTTTTCTCAATTTTGAACGATCCATGTGCTCCCGAGTATCTGTAATCTAAATTTCAATACCTGGAAGATTCTCATAAATTTTCTCTCCGTTCCTCGGTCAATCTTAAGTTGCTCACTCCTTTACACCGTACTGGTTATTTATCTCTTTCGTCCTCACGGCCATCAGACTCTGGAACGACATCC